CGTCATCGAGTGCTACGCGCGCGCAGACCGCCCCGGTGCGCACCGCCTCGACTGCGCCGACGCCGTCGGTGAGCGCGCCGGCGACGCACATCGTATCCGACATCCCATCGAATAATATTAGACAAAATGATACTCATGTACCGCTTGCGACGGCCGACTTGGAACCGCAACTGATTTTCTTCTATTAAACATTCTAATATCAAAATAGTAGTTGCGTTTAGTAAACATGCGTCTGCACGTCAGGCGCGTTCGCGAGCTGCGTGAAGGCGGCGGCGGCGCAGCGGCTGCGAGCGCGCACGCAGCGGGACGCGCGCGAGCATGCGCGGCGCGAGCGGCACGTCGCACACGCCCGCGAGCACGCGCTGCGCGACCTCGCCCCGCCGCAGCCGCAGCCGCAGCCGCAGGACGCGCCCGCCTAGCATCTCCAGCGACAGACATCTTGCTAATAAATACCGCAATTGCATAATTGCACATTTCCACTCAAACTATTTATATGAATAAATATATTTTGTATAACCAAAATTTTCGACTTTATTTTTCACGTAAAATGGAAACAATTAATTTAATCGATAGATCGTGTCGAATTTTCAATAATTCTGCAATATGTGGCTCTCGCGCGTCCGATGCGCTCGGATCGATTTATTTATTGAAATTATGATAAGCAAAGAAATGAGATCGAGTCGCACCAGTATTTATCGTTATTCTGTTTTTGTCGTTTAGGTGAAGTTTGTTAGAAGTGGAATTTATTTTACGAACACAAAATAAAAACGGATTAAAAATATATTATGTATATTCTTTCTTAAAAGTCACATTCACAGAAACGTCTCTTAAACTCAATGCCATATAGAAGCACAACATCAGCACTGCTCGATCGATCACTTTGCGATAACAAGTCGAAGTATTATATATCAATCAAATGTCACTTTCTTCTTGACATCGTCGACGGCTGCTCTCCTGGTGTGCGCGGTCTGGTGCGCGGGCGGGGGCGGGGGCTGGTGCGCGGGCTGGGGCGA